ATACATGAGTTATCCTTACAGCTTCAGGAGCTGTTAGGGAAGGAAGTTATCAGACCGAGTAGCTCACCGTGGGGAGCGCCAATCCTTTTTGTTAAGAAGAAGGATGGTTCACGCCGGATATGTATTGATTATTGGGAGTTGAACAAGCTGATGGTCAAGAACCGTTATCCACTTCCGAGGATCGAAGATTTGTTCGATTAGTTGCAAGGGGCATCTTGGTTTTCCAAGATCGATTTGAGATCTGGATATCATCAGATGAGAGTCTGCGAGGATGATATCCTGAAGACGGCCTTTAGGACTCGTTATGGGTACTACAAGTTCGTGGTGATGCCTTTTGGGCTCACCAATGCACCAGCAGTGTTCATGGACCTCATGAACCGGGTGTACATGCCTATGTTGGATTGATCAATGATCGTGTTCATCGACGATATCCTGATGTATTCAAAATCTAGAGAGCAGCACAATAAGCATCTGAGAGAGATTCTTGGAGTTTTGAGGTCCGAGAGGCTTTATGCTAAATTCTCCAAGTGTGATTTCTGGTTATGAGAGGTCCAGTTCCTGGGGCACCTCGTTAACCATAATGGAATATTGGTTGACTCGGCCAAGATCGAGGTGGTGATGAGATGGGAGGTGCTGAGATCCCCCACTGAGATTAGGAGTTATCCAGGTTTGGTCGGTAACTATCGGAGATTTATCAAAGATTTCTCCAAGATTGTCGTCCCTCTCACTAGGTTGACCCAGAAGGGTGTTACTTTTATTTGGGGTCCCGAGCAGCAGGCCTCATTTGATACTCTTCGCCAGAGATTGTGCGAAGCCCCGATGTTAGCCCTCCATGAGGGAATGCAGGAGTTTGTAGTTTACTGCGATGCATCTATATCAGGGATGGGTGTGGTGCTGATGTAGAGGGAGCATGTGATATCATATGTATCGAGGCAGTTGAAGCCTCACAAGATGAGATATCTCACCCACAATCTAGAGTTGGGGGCGGTGGTGTTTGTCCTCAAGATCTGGCATCACTATTTATACGAGGTTCGGTGTACCATATACACAGACCACAAGAGTCTGAAATATCTCATGGATCAACCCAACCTAAATATGAGATAAAAGAGGTGGTTGGATGTAATGAAAGACTATGACTACGAGATTCTGTATCATTCGGAGAAGGCTAATGTGATAGACGACGCCCTGAGCCGTAGAGCAGCGAGTGCTCCGATCCGAGATGTGTGTATGAGGATGACGGTGATGACTCCCATCTTAGATACCATTCGAGGGGCACATGTGGAGGATGTGAAGTCGAAGAACCGCAAGAGGGAGTGGGTGATTGGTTAGGTGTCTGAGTTTGTGACAGATAGTCGAGGGCTTATGACTTTCCGATGGCGGATTTAGGTGCCCTATACGGGAGAAGCTCAACGTATACTGATGGAGGAGGTGCATAGATTGAGATTCTTGATCCATACAGGGGGCATCAAGATGTATTTGAACCTAAAAATAGATTATTGGTGGCCCTGTATGAAGAGGGATGTGGCATGGGTAGTTGAGAGGTACTTGACTTGCCGCCGGGTTAAGGTGGAGCACCAGCGTCCACATGGTCCATTACAGCCTTTAAAGATTCCCCAATGGAAGCGGGAACATATTTCTATGGACTTTACCACTAAGTTACCGAGATCTGCTCGTGGGGTTGACGCGATATGGGTGATTGTGGAACGGCTGACGAAGAGTGCTCACTTCCTTGCTATTAATGAGAGCTCTTCTTCAGAGAGACTGATCGATATTTATGTGAGAGAGGTGGTAGCACGACATGGAGTGCCAACCTAGATAGTGTCAGATCGAGACGTGCGTTTTTCTTCCAGGTTTTGGGAAGAAATTTCATGAGGAGCTGGGCACGCGTTTGCATTTCAATACTGCATACCACCAACAGAAGGATAGACAGAGTGAGCGGATAATTCAGACGCTTGAGGATATGTTGTGTGTATGTGTTATGGACTTCGGAGGAATTTGGGACACTTATTTACCTCTGGCTGAGTTTTCTTACAACAACAACCATCATTCGAGTATTGGTATGCCTCCCTTTGAGCTTCTATACGGGAGGAGGTGTCAGACTCCCATTTGTTGGGGGGAGAAGTGGGGAAGAGAGTGATGGGTGGCACTGAGATAGTGCTAAAGATGACTGAGCGGATTTAGCAAGTCAGACAAAGGTTACTAACGGCCCAGAGTCGCCATAAGAGTTATGCAGACAGGCGATGATCCGAGCTAGAGTTTCAGGTTGGAGATTTTGTCCTCTTGAAGGTATCACCATGGAAAGGGGTGATCCGATTCAGGAAACAGTGCAAGATGGGGCCTCGATACATCGGTCCTTTCATATGTGACCGCCAGAGTAGGTAGGGTAGCATATCGGTTGGAGCTACCTGCAGAGTTGAGCCGGATTAATAACACATTCCATGTGTCCCAGTTGAGGAAGTGTGTGGCCGATGAGATGGCAATGGTGCCCCTAGAGGACATTCAGTTGGATGCGAGCCTAAATTACATTGAGAGGCTGATCGCGATTTTGGATCGAAAGGTGAATGTGTTGAGGAACAAAGAGGTGCCCCTAGTTCAGGTCTAGTGGCAACATCGGAGAGGGTCCGAGTTGACTTGGGAGTCGGAGTCTAAGATGCGGGAGCAGTATCCAAAGTTATTTATGGAGCATGACTTTGGGGGCGAAGTCTAATTCTAGTAGGGGAGAATTGTAACATCCCAACTCCAGGTATACCTTGTAACCCTTGATCTTTTGAGCATTTGTCCATTTTAGGCCTTTATTGAGAAAAAGTGGTAAATGAGTACGCGGGGAGTACACGAGTGTATGTTCAGCGTACTCATATGCATTCATCTGACGCGTAATCCACCTAGTACGATGGGTGTACTAGGCCCAGCGTGAAAACCCTAATTTAGGGCGAGTCCCCTATATAAAGGTTATGATGGCCTCATTCCTGGCCACTATTCTCAGACAACAAACCCTCTTGTGTCCTAAACCTTCGTTCTTAGATATTGTGTGCATTTGAGAGCCTTTGAGAGTCTTTTTGTGTTCTTAAAGTGAAGAAAAAGCTTTGGAGAAGAATAAGTGAGAGCCTAGGCCCTTGGATCTGTATCTATGTTGAGAGCTTCACATAGAGGTATAAAGCTACAAGCTTTCCCACTCTTTTGATTTGTGCATCATAGTAGAGTATTTTAGGGCTTTTGTCCCAAAAGTTGGAGACTTTATGAGATATTGAGCTCCAAAGACTATGATCAACCCCTTTGAGTGTATTTAGTGGTGTAATGTCATAAAAATCCAATCTTGGACGTTGGAAACAAGCCATGCATGAGTTATGAGCTTTATGAGATAAGAGGGTGAGTGTTTTGTGTGTTTGTAACCATATTAACCATACAAAGGCTTAAAGTCACTTTACCTTATGGAGTAAGAGCTGTTAAGGAGTCTAGATTTGTGATACGAGCCAAAGTCTTAACTAATTAAGACAAAATGAGTGAGAATAGGGAAACTGGGGCGTACGCTGGGCGTAATCCCAGTACGCGCATCATAGGGGTCGAGCATCCCTGATGCATGCATGACAAATGAGTACGCCCAACGTAGAGAGCTGGTACACGCAACGTACTCCCTATCGTTGACTTTTTGGATGACTATTAGGGTTTGGTCAATTTGTGGACTATTAAGCCCGTGGAGGGGTATAATAGTCTTTTACCCTCCTGTGAGTTATAGAAGGGTTAGTCTAGCTTCATGAGAGTCATTATTAATTAGGGATAATTATCGTATGTGTTAGGCGGAGGCTAGATCGGTGATTTGAGTTCGAGGTTATCCGATTCTTACGAGGTGGGTCTTATCACTATACTTTACCTAGGGTGGTAATCCTTATGTGACCGGAGGGTATTATGTGCTTATATTTGAGTATTATGATATCCTGTATTATGTGTATGTGATTATTGTTGTGTATTATTCTGAGCTTACTGAGTTAGGACCGGAGGGTCCACCCGAGTTACGACCAGAGGGTCCACCTGAGCCATGGGACCGGAGGGTCCCACTGAGACACATTGACCAGAGGGTCTTACTGAGTTGTAGCTTTGAGTGGCTAATGAGTTGTGTACGTGGTATTTTGGGGAACTCACTATGCTTCGTGCTTACCGTGTTATGTGTAATGTGTTTCAGGTACTTCCGAGGAATGCTCCGGTTTGATTGTACGCACACCCGTATTCGAGATATGATTTTGGAGGAGCCTAGATTTGTGATAAACAATTTTTGAAATATGTGTTGAAAAATTGATACTTAAGATTTTTGTGAAAATGTGACATGTGTTTTATTGTGTTTGAAAATGAAAATTTTGGTTTGAAAATTTACGTTGTTACATAAAATGTTGAAATAATTATCGTAACCTGCAAATTTGAGAGACAATGTTGTGTTTGAGTTTGATGATGGAGGGTGGGGGGGTGGTGTTTGAGTTTTGCTCCATTTTTTTATTGAGAAGAAAGTACGGATTTTTTTATAAAATATAAAGAGAGAGAGAGAGAAAGAAAGATGTAAAGAAGTGGAAGTTGCATTTATATATAAATGTTTATAAGGTAATTTTTTTTAATATCAAACATTATAATCATTGTTAAAATGGTCCATTTATTCAAACATGTTAATTTTACACGTTTTGCCAAGTTGTAACGAACACGAGATGCCCCAAAACGAGAACTCGAGAAGGGGGGCGGTGTTCCCCTGTTATAACGCCGTTAAGGCGTGTTCACATCGGCAATAAAAAACAATCTCAAACCGATACTGTGTGCTCTTAGTGAATATAAAATTCAATACTTTTAATTTTGAAAAAATTGAAAGTGATTGCACAACTCGTAATATTACAGAATATAACTTTGTTTAAAAAATAATATTCATTTCTTATTGTTCCTTTCAAATTTGGTTAAAACATTAAATAGAATTAAGAAAAATGATATATTTGTGAGCATATAATAATTAGGGTTTAAGCCTAAGGTTCTCTGTTTTAGGGTTTTTCCATGAGAAATCTTTCACATTACCACCTTACATTTCATAAAGGGTGCACGGTATCCTAAATCTTTCATAATCTTCAGTTCTTCACCCACACACGAGTGGTTGGGTGAGAGGTTTTCTCTCAGGGTTTTGCTAAAATGCAACAATCTTCGGTAAAACACTCCATTTCGTGAAAAAATCAAACGACTTTTATCTTTATAACCAAGAAATGGAGGACGTGGATGATGATTTCGGCGATTTATACGCAGATGTTGAAGTGGAAGCAAGCTCAGCCATGAATGTTGCTCCACAATTTTCTCAATTACAGTTTGTAAGCGATGAAACTGGTAAGCAGAACAGTGCTTTAGAGGCGAGTAGTGATAAAGAGGACAGAGTAAGTGATGGCGATGAGGACGACGAAGACGATGATGATGATTTGAATATCGTCTTGAATAGAGACGATGATAGTCTAAGGCATGGGGAGGGTTTAACAATTTCACGGACTAATACGAATTTGCGGAGTGGAGAGTTAGAAGATGAAGACGATGATAATATCGGTAAAGAAGAAATTGCGGGAGGGAAAGCGGTCGGTAATTCGCATTCACTGTACAAGGTGTTCTTTCGATCATGAACTTTACTTGAGTACATATCATTAGTTTATGCTACTATATGGATTGAACTCCCAACTTTATAGTTCAATTGAAATCATCTCCAGTTTCTGCAAATTTACTTCAGCTTAAGTTCAATTTGAAATTGAGCATATTAGCTTTATAGGTTTCGATTGAAGTTACATGCATCGTATTTCTGGTTAAACTCTTGATCAAAGTTAGTTTCTTATGGAGATGAGATTGTATTGCAGTTGATTTCCAACTCTTCTGATGTGGATTGTGATTAAACTGATTATTGTGACTTGCAATCACAATGATGATCCCAATAATGAGGTTTGAGTGTTGAGGCAAAATTGATCATAGAATATGAATTTTTTGATAATAATCAGAGTTGGGGAAACAAGGAAGAACTTGTTGTAAGAAAACTAACAAAACTAGGATTTGAAATGCATTGTTTTTGACTTTTTGTTCTCTACTTGTTGCTCTAATCTCCTTGAAATATGTTATCTTCCTATATCTGTTTTGTGATTGAATTGGATTTTTGTTGGTAGTATTCAAGATCTCAATCAGCAGCATATGGAAGTGAATCAAAAGGAAATGGATGTGTGGCAGCAGCTTATTTATCCCGGGAGGATAATGGGTATATTCAGCGATCAATGGGACCTCAACATGCACAAAGATTCTCACTTCCTTGGTCTAGGTGAGTATTGAACTTCAAAAAAAAAAAAAAGCTACAATGTGTAAAAAATGCAACTTTATTTCCATGTCTAGATTCTTTTCACATTTGTTTATTGATTCTTTATTAATGTGTATGTCTTTATGTATCTTACAGGAGCATACTAGATGTAAATATTGATGTATTTGAGCAGAAGCATTGGAAGCATCCTGGAGCAGATATAACTGACTATTTCAATTTTGGGTTGAATGAAGATACTTGGAAGCTTTATTGCAACCAAGTGGTAAAGACTTCTATTCTTGTGTTAACTTTTGTAACTCTTTAATAAAGTTCCCATCTTTCTATATCCTAAAAAGATGTTTTTGTTGTTGTTGTTGTTGAGGTTCTTATAATTGTTGTATCATAACCTCTAATGGAGGAAAGTTTTGTCATGTTATTGGCAGGATGAATATCGTCATAGAGGACCAATGTCAAGTGGGAGTCCAGTGTCAGAGCCTACACAATCAACGGAGGTGAGGATTAGAAGGGTATTTACGTCTTTTCTCCCATTGACATCAGTTCCAGTCCTAGATCAATGCACATTACTTATAAATTCATGGTTGTTTACTGCATGCTTATTGTTTCAGATGAAAGGAAGGGCAATTCAGGTAGAAGACAGCATTGTTGAACGACAATCATCCATGGATATAAGGCGTCAACTGGATCGTGATTCAGATGTTATACAAGTATGGATTTTTTTTTTTTTCTTTATTTTACCTATCTGTTGACTGAGGTTTTGTAGTAGCTACATTACATACAACATCTCTTGTTTCACTGATATTGACATGATTGTATCAGATCACCATTGTGGATCCAGAGGAACATTGTTGTGAGTCTGTACAAGAAGGATCTGGTAATCTTGAGACTTCTGTTCCAGAAGCTTCTACTCATGGAGATGTTAGTGGGGATGATAGAACAGATCATCTTTCTTTTAGTAGTTCAAGTGAAGATGAATCTTTTGAAGGGAATCATTTGGAGAGTGAAATAGTTGCACTTAAAAGGTGAGAGCAATAACTTCATGCTATTTGTGATTTTGTGTCAACCTTAATTTAGTTTTTTTCTGATTAAAGTTTTCTTTTGAATGGGTTTAGGGGTTCTAATGGAAGAAGTAGAAGTAAGCCTGTGACACAAGATTCTAAAAAACACGAAATCCATCAATGTTCAGGAGGAACTGATGAAGCAATCAAAACTTCAGACAACACAAAGGAAAGAACAGGTGAGGATACATGCACCACAGACCTATCCATCATGCCTGCAGAATCATCAGAGGCTGAAAAGAGCCCTAAAAACCATTGCAAATCATTTGAAGATAGGTGGAAATCTTATAGTCATGAGAGGTGTTCATCTACTGAGTTGACTCGGTCAAGGAAGCCTGGTTATCATCATTCAGAGAGCTTGAAAATATCAGATAAGTATCATAGATATCATTCAAGATATCATAGTCCTGTATATAACGATAGGACCCGTAAAGATTCTAAACCCAAATATCACCATGAAAATGATGACATCATCTTCTCAAGAAGACGAGATGAAGAAAGAAAACATGGGGAGCATAAATATCATGGAAGACACAGTACTCCTGTATATAATCATAGGACCTATGACTATGAGAGACTGCATCCTTTCGATCCTTATAATGAGGAAGGCATGTTATATTCAAAAGAATCGGAACCTCCTCTTGATTATTACCATGGTGAAAGGTTTTCTGAGTATGAAAGATTTGGACCCAAACTGGGTCGACCCGTTTTCAGAAGTTTAGAAGAGGAGGAATATTATGATGAACAAAGAAGATATAACGATGAGTTTGGTAGAAGGAAAGGAAATAATGTGCATTTTGGAGATAAAGGAATACATGATGAATTTTTTCTTGAACGGGAATATTCCCAAGATATAAAAGGTGAAAATTTTAGATCTTTTGCTTATAATGATGACATGGAAAAAGATGAATATGAACATGTAAATCCTGAAGCATATACCAGATGGGAATTTAGAAGCCCTGGAACAAATAAAAGGAAGATTGGTAGTTCATCTGCTGAATTAAGTAACCCTTTGCCAAAAATGGAAGAATCCCATATCAATAATGGAAGATGGCATTATGACATGATGCCTAGAAGTAGTTTATATGGAAGACAAAGGAGATACGAAGGGGAATTGAGTGAAAGATTTAGATACGATGATTCTGGACCTTTTGATCACACAATTGATTATGATGATCGTGTGGATGTGGTAAGAAGTAGGGACCACCATTGGGAACCTGAAATGCAATGGAAAGATGATGACATTATGATACCATTTGATGATGCATATATAAAAAGGCATAAATACAAGTTTGAAAAAGCTTCAAATGTTAAGTATGAAGGGGGTCATGAAAAAAGATTCCAAGGGAGAAGGGATTCGGATGGAGGGAATTATGAGTGGGTGTTTATGAATTCACATTTGGTTGATGATTTAAAAAATGCAGCAGATGGGTGCGAGGGGTATAAACGGAAAAGAGAAATAGTAATTAGTGGAAAAAAGTACGGAGAGAGTGGTAAAAAACCATCACCCAGCTGCAGGAATTCATGCTTGGTTGTTCGGGAAGGAAAGGTAATAAATATCTGGGAAACTGATGATGAAATACTATTACTGTATCAATTTAATTGTATATATTAATTATATATCAATATATGTCATGTCATATATATATCATATATGGGACAATACTTTTTTCATTGCATGTTTTTTGGAACCACATGTATATATGTTGTTTCTTAGCATATGTGTGTTATTTCAGATATGAAGTTCATTAGATCCGAATGAATTTACCTATATGCCCTTTTGGTAATTACATACATATCTTGGTTGAGCATATAACAAACAGTATCAACACTTGACATGTTGTTGTTGTTGTGGCATTGGTCGTGTGCAGTCTTCCAAAAGACTTCCAACAAAAGCAATCCGCGAATGTCAACGTTTGGACATGGAGGAAGGTCAGATTCTAGACACGGGACCCACAAAAGACGCAAATGGGTCTCATAATCAAAAAGAAAAGACTGGGCTCGATAAATCTCGGATTCTGGAGGCAAGGGCAAAAATGGAAAAACGAAGAGCACGTTTTAACGATACCACTAAAATGGAATCAGATAACACAACAGCAACATCAAAAAAGGTTGGAGTTGTGGATTTGTTTCAAGAAAAGGGCTCAAATAAACCACAAAGACCACATAGAAAGCGGAGATGGGGTGGAAGCTGAAATGATAACTAAAATTCCTTAATTTTTTGCTACACAAAGGTAAACAGGGCAAGAATTTTTTTTAAATTTCTTGGAAACATATTACCAGATTCCTGTTCTTCTTTTTGTTATTTGATATAACTGGTTTTTTTTATTTTTTTACGATGAAGGTTGTTTTCTAGAAACTTTTACAAGAATTAACGACTTATACATGTGCTATATACCCGTTTATTAGTCCATGTTTGTTTGACATGCATTCGTGTCCATAAGCAAAATCCTATAAACTTTTGTCAGAAAGATGGGACATAAACTTGCTCCTGATAGTATAAAAGAGGCGAATACATTCCCTCGTTATCATCAAAAATAGCCCTAAAAACATGTTCAATCTGGCTGGTGGTAACTAGTAACCGAATTTATTGTAAAAAAACAGCATAATATGTATATCATATTTGAATTTGAATATCTATTAAGCTCTATTCGATTAACAAACAATTATTTCATTAGTTTATCAAACTAAATTCTAAATTATTCAAGACATCAACAACATCGATATGTCCTCAATCTTATAAATTATGATAGTGAAAGGTAGGGAGACTGCATAAGTAGATGACCTTTAACATAAAGAAACAAAAACAAAATAAATAAATATTATAAATACACCCACACCTAATGATCATTGCATATTAAATGCTATGCAACACCGGTCCATAATGAATATAATGACGAGACTAAAGAACAAAAACAATATATCCAAGGAAAGGAGGGCAAGACTAAACACATAAATATCGTATTGATACATAAGTATTCGAAAGTAAATGAGCCGATGAGAAATACTAGTAATACAAATACAAAGTAAACATGTAACACTATTAATTAAATGAAACTTAATGGCAAATTCAACAAAGGAAAAAAAACTAGTCCCGAGATTTAAAGTCGGCCCAAAGGAAGTTCAAAGTGTTCCTATGAACAGATCCGGTTATGTATCATGCAAATGAAAGGAACAACACAAGCAGGAATCATGAGCGGTAACCAATTTTTTTGGGGGAAAAAGGAAACGTCGCTTAGGTTCCTTCAATGTCACAGATAGTAATTACGATTTAGGCATGATGAACAAATTAATGATGCCATCGAAATAGCAAATCACCGTCAAGCTCCTTGGCAATGATCTCATTTAATTCTTTGTTTAAAATCAGTAAAACCATTCATATAAAATCTTCAATCTTCAAACATTAGACGGATTCAAAAGCATTTCAATTATTTCTTCTTACTTAACTCTTCATAAATCTTCAAAATTAGAAGGCTTCAATGGTTGGTATGGAGGAGTTAAAAATCAAAATTTGAATCTTAGGGACGGAAATCAAAATGTATTATACATTTTTTTATTCTATCTAATACATATATGATATTGTTTAGACTTTAGAGGTTGTATGGTAATAATTTATGTTTTTTTTTTTTTTTTTAATTCAAATTTCTTTTTTATAAAAAGAAATCAAAATTTGAAAACCATAAGGTATGTTAAGTCCTCAAAAGTAATTATAATATGTAAATATGTTTTTTCCATTTCACTCTGTTAAACCGCTGACGCACACGATTTAAGCAAATAAATTTATCACTACTAGTTGCACTAATGGATAGCATATGGAAGCATGGTCGAATCCTTAAGGACACAACCTAATGATCAATGCCTTTTTGTATAAGGCACATACTACTTATTTGAAAGAAAAATAATAAAAAGGCGGATTTGATTATTAAATAAAACTAAAATTGCAGTGAAAAGAAACTAAATTAAACTCGATAATAAATACGATTTCAACTTTACTGCGACGTTCCTAATCATGCAGTCAACCTATATTTGGTTATTAAGAATGTGTTCTATTTAAGTTGATACTGAGAAAAACTAACAAACTCTAGTATAATCTCTTTTACCTAATTAAATTAACCAAAACAAGCTCTTCAGTTAACATTGACTTTTTACTGTCTAATTAAACAAGCTCTTAATTAAAATCGGAAAAGTTGCATTAAGTTAACCATTTTGGGTTGTGGTGACTTGGTAAGGCATGTGGAAGATATGATGGATAACCTATTGACCAATGTTCAAATCCTGGAACCACTCAGCCCTTGTGGCCATGGAGGTTCGCCTGCAGTGACTCCAGGGAATGAGACAAAGCTTCATATTTGCAGCGGGGGATTAGTCGGTGTGCAAAAGCTAGCCCGGAAACCCTCGTTAGGGAAGTTCCTTTTCCAAAAGAAAAGTTTCATTAAGTTTTGTGTAAAATTCTCAGCAATACCCAATACTTCTTACAAACTTGGAAGCGTAAAGGCATAAAATTTTAGTTTATATAAGAGTTAAATCCCAAACACGGAACCAATCTGATGCTTGGTACTTATTACCAGCTGACAAGAACAATTACAGATTCTATTAACTGATTAACTGGAATGATAAAACCCTAGCTAGGTGATTAGACTAACAATAATTAAAAATCAAACATTCATTAAGTTCAAAACTGAAACAACTAGATAAAAACACATAAAGAAAACCAAATCTGATAACTGATCAAATCAGAAGTACTAATTTGATGCATAACTGAAAACTAGGGTTTTAGCTAGACATAGCTAAAAACGAATCTAAACTAATAAAAAGAAAAAAGAACTGATTAATATTCTAAACTAAGTGTGGAAGATGATTCACAACCTTCAGACCTTCAAAAGTTGCTGAAAGTTATCAGAAATCGCCTTTAGAAGGTTTTTTCGTCGTCTAGAACCGTCTCTCTCCCGAATCTGATCAGGATGATCATATTTATACTCACGGTAGAAGCTTTCGAAGCAAGTTAGTAGGATCTGCGATTGTAGAAATAGGATATGTGATCATAGATACTACAATTTTTTCTAGATTGGTAGTTAAATGAAGTATGATGTTATTTGTGATGTTTTGGGAGCTATGCCACAAAAACACGATCACAAAAGTGAATATACAAATGTAAATTTTTAGTTTTTTTCTCTAGATGACTTTTTCGACCTTGCAAAACCTCGACACATTATACGATCGCAAAAACCATAAATGTGATCGCAGAAATAGCTTTTCGGATTGATTCAAATGCGATTCTTAAATTTAAGCATTCCAAGTCATTCCTCAACATCCTTCCTTAATTCCAACTCCATTTAGGCTCCAAATATGCATCCAATTTCTCCCAAAGTACCACTCCACTCGAATTATCTGAAAACGATACAAAAACGCTAGTAGTACGGGAATTCTGATAAAAGACATGAACTGAACATTATTTAAACTAATGACATGCAAATGAAAAAATTATGATGCTAAATGCTAATAACTATCATAAAGATGCATAAAACGACATCTATCACACTCATTTTGATTGTTATTACTTGATATCATACGCAAAATCTATCATAGAGTACAAATAGAATCAACTCCCACTGGTGTTAGATGTCATTAAAAAGATGCATGCACATTTAACAATTGCCGTTGTTTCAAATGATCCATGTTTATTCAGGTTTGATGGAATTTTCTCTGTTTATTATCATATTATTATGTTTTATTATTTTTATGGTAATATTGTTCTTAATCTGATTTTAATGATGAGTTGTTGAACTTGTTTCCACGAGGTGATTAGGAAAATAGTGAATGGAACCACTTATGTTAGACTTAGAGCAAGGATAATAGGGACATCATATAATAATAGTGAGTAGAACACCAAATCACATTTTCCTTTTTTTTATTTATTTATTTATTTATAAAACAAATCAATATGTTCATCATGTTTGGGCCGGTTGTAGATCAAAGAGGAGTTGGAATAGGGGCTCCCTAAGCTATAAACTCATGTAGTCATGTCACATAGAGGTCATGTATGACGTTGGTCCCATCCCATAAAATACCAATCCATTTTTTATAGGTATTTAGAGGACAAATATGTTAAGGCTTTACTACTTTAGCTTATGTATTTTGCAATATAATATTAAAAATTATTATTGTTTTGCTTAAATTTTTAGGTCTTTTAAGTTTTAGGGCCTATTTTTTCTTAAATTGTGTAGTGCTACCGGAATCTCACAGACGGCCTTGTCGAGTTTACACATACAATTCGACACACTCAATTTTATTTTTTTTTGTATGTAAAATAAATGAATTGCATAATAAATGAATTACAGTTATGTAGTCTACATCGTTAAAAAATCATGTTGGTGACCCTTTTGATAGTTTTATACTTTACTATGCACTCTTTCCGCTATTTCGATTTTTAAAGTGAAAACTATAAAATGGTAATTGTTCTTTACGAAACTAACAATTAAATCACTTAAATTCAAAATCCTCTCTAATAAATTAAGCCTTTTTTTTACCACTTGTCAATTTTTCAAGAGTTTTGACACATGTAATTTTGTTGGATTTTTAGAATTATTATTTTCCACTTGTTATTTTTGGGGAATTTCTATTTACTTAAAATAAAATTTCACAAAATTCTAATGAGTTTTATAAGAAAAGATAATCATTCTATCAATTTAATAATAAAGTTTCATAAATGTTCTAAAGAATATTTGATTTCTTTTATAAATGTTCCAAAAAATTACATTATGTTATGTAAAAGTATTATTTTATAAAATATTTAATGTTTAAATATTGATATTAAATTTTTATTTTTAATAAACTCGTGTAGTATACGAGTTTCACACCTAGTGCTCTCTAATAAATGAATGTTTTTTTGCCACTTATCACACTCTTATTCAATTTGTCAAATGTCATTTTGTGGTTATTTTGAATTATTTTTTCCCACATGTTATTTTATGAGTTTTTCTATTTTATTAAATTCCATATAATATTTTAATAAATGGATATCAATTTCATTAAGGAATTTACATTTTAATTTTTAAAATTTCCAAAATTAAAGCTCATTAGTTTTTTATTTATTTAAATTTAAAAGATAAAAAAATATTTCCATTATAATAATTAATTATTTTTATTATTTTTTTATGAATTAAAAGTTTTTAAATATTTTGACATTTATATTTAGTTTATATTTTATTTATTTATAAATTTAAAATTAATATACTACCTCTGTTCCAAATTAATTATCCATATTTGACTTTTGAAGTATTTATTCTTCATCTTTAACCTTAAATATTTTTCTTTTTGATAGATAATATTTGATCCAAAACATATGAATTGATTATATTTTAAATATCTTTTTGTTATAAATTTGATCAAGTAACATATAGG